TTCAGGTTGATGCACAGGATCCCTTCTGGAAACCTTCGGTAGTCAACTTCAAACTGGTGAAAGAGGGATTCGAATCAAAAGAACAGGACAAGGCTCACGCGTGGACGGTCTTGGGGTCAATGATGTGCCGGATGGACGATTCTCACGAGTTTACGGCAGATTCCTTTGTATCAAAGTTGCTCTCATACGGACAATCAAGGCTCGCGACATTGGCTGCTGACTCGTACAATCAGCTGCACAAGTTTATGGTCATGGACGAACCTCAACCAGAAACTGGCAACAGGGAGGACGACATGCTAGATTCAATGGCCAATGCCGGCAAATACATCATCGGAAAAATTCGGTGCCTCAAGGCAGGAGCGGCAGAGACAACAGGGTCCAACTCACGGGCAGGGAACGGCTTCTTGGTAATTCAAAGACGGATCTGGGAAACACTTCTTTGTATCCTCATGATGCAGCAGTCTAGCTTTATGGAGGAATGCGCTTCGATGAAGGAAGGCCATATTCGCGAAGATGAGGTCGCCAAGCTGACTGAGGACATGGTAGCTAACGACCGCGGACGATCAATTTTCGACAAAGGTGATATCGTGACGGAATTGACAGAGAAGCAGAGAAAGGAGTGGGGTAAACTTCGGCTCGGGGCGTTTGGTTCTATGGCGATTTATTTTCTTTACGGCGCGGCCGGATGGTGGCATTGTCTCTACAACAACAGTGCTTACAATCAGAAGGACATTTGGTCTCTAGTCACGCTCGCTCACGCTAGACACGAATACTTGTACACTGATGGACGATACACTCTTAGGGCCCCAGAGTGCACCCCCTGGTACACAACCGACAGCTTCATCCGGTTTGTACTCCGCTCGGCTAATGTCACCCAAGACAACATCTTGAGATGGATTGGGACATTGCTCCACGAACGTTCAATAAGTGGGTCACCGATGAGAATATCGCCCGATTCGCATTACACGATATCCTCAGAGAGTGCAACTTGCCCGGTCAATCGCTCAACTTAGATGGTAATCCGGCTCCACCAGTCACATTGCTTGAGGCACACGAGGAGGAAGTTCGTCAGATTACAGAGAAGGTCAGATCAGCTTGGGACCCAGCAGTGGCACGACATCTAATCTCATTGGACGAAGCAGATGTCAGTCCAGACGTCTCAGCAGCTAATGCTTTGCGGGGCCTCAGCATCGAACAATCTCAGCCGGCTCAGGGGACTTCTGGATCACAAAGGCCTCCAGACACCCAGCAGTCAAAGGCCCCTACACCTCCACCCAACGCCCAGCCATCCTCCGCAGCCAACAAAGATAATCCAGCCCCCCCAAGTAGTGATAGGTCTGACTCCCCCATCCCTCGCCGATCAAAGAAGAAGACTCCAAGGCAACCATCAACTCCCCCAAGTGACACTCACGAGTCCTCGGTTCGCTCAGTAAAGAATAGGGAACCAACGCCTACTCGGTACACCGACGATGAAGAAGAGGAAGAGGAAGAGGAAGAGGAAGACGAAGACGAAGACGAAGATGGAGATGAAGAGGCTGAGGAGAGAAACCGCAGGAAGAAAGAATCCAGGTTTGTGGATGTTGTAGCTGGAGAGGATTAGTTGTCTTTGTTTGTGTCTTCTTTCTTTTTTGGTCGTTTTGTTGTACACTCTACCGTGTTGGAGTCGGCTTGCTTTATTCCTTTTCTTTTCATGATGCTTGGTTTATCATTCTTATTCCTTCCTCTTTGTTGTTTGTCACTGTGCTTGAAATTCATTCTCCTTTCTACCTGCTGCAAGTTCCTCTCTGCTGCCAAATGCAGCTTGGTTTGGTGAAGATGTTTCCTTAGCCGTGAGGGTGTGATGGGTTTGACTTCCAATGTCCCCTTGTGTAAACTCCTGAGCCTGGTGTGTGTGCAATGAATTCTCAATTGTGGAAGACCCACCTCCCTTTGGAAACATTTCAGCTCCATCAAGCGGCTGATTTTTTCAGTACCTCCTCCGTGGGTGGCCAAGTCACATGTCCTGTCTGCTTTGGGGGTGTTGGAGCTATATTATTCGTTTTTCCTCCCATGTCCTTCTTGATCTTAATATGGTATTTCATTGCGGCAGTTGTTGGCTGTCTTAGATCACAGTTGATTATCTGTTTATTCTGGTGGCACTACCTGGGCCTGAGTCTCACCTCCCTGTGGTCATTGTTTGGCTTGATTAACCAGTCACGGGATCATGGGATTCTCTTGCGCAACTATCACCTCTCTGTCTGCAAGTAATTGCTGGCCTTATCATTTTGTTGCTTATCTGACTGTTCTAGACACAGGTCTGGCTTTCCAAGTTTCACCTCCCTTTGAACAACCTTTGCCTCTACCAACCACATAATTTTCTGGTGATTCTGGTGGGGTAATCTAGGCATTCTGTTCCATCCAAGGCTCACCTCCCTGTGAACACATTTCAACTCTATTAATCAGGCAATTTCTTATTACTCCTGGTGTCCAACCGGAGTTTCCTTTTTCAACCCGCGTGAAATACTTATCAACTTGGTGGCTTGATGGCTTTTTTCTGGTGTAATCCAGGCAGGCATTTTCAAGGCTCACCTCCTGAACGATTCATCTTTGGCTCTAT